CTTCCATTCAGTCCAGGAGTCTGACAATTATTTTCCTAATTGTATAAAATGGACGAAGTTTATGTAAGGACTACGTACCACCACAATTTCAAATACTGAGGCGTGTAATTGAATAGCTAGGTCACTGAATGTATTTTAGCTCTCAATATTACTAACAAAAATACCTACTTCATACAGGCCCTACAAAGAGTCCTGGAGCAGAGCTCTGCACTGCAGGACACCAAAGCGGCCTTTGAGTGCTACCTCAAGAGCTGGTCTCACAATACAGCATGATTTTATCAAGGCAACTTTGGTTACAGTAAGACACAAATTTAAGCTGCTTCGGCAGGGAAAGAACTAGCTGGCAAAGCAGAGATTAATTCCAAACAGGTTTATAACAAGCTCGCATTCAGAGCTGAGAAAAAAATAATCAACTACTTAAACAGACAGCAGATGACACATCCTCTTTGCTTTTTAACTCAACATCCTGAACTAAAAAAAACTTGTGGGCTATCAAAGAAGAGGAACCATAATCTTGACTCGTTTCCTACTACGTGAAGTGGTGTAGCAACTTTGTCTGGGGCAGGTTCAAATACAGTTCAATGCGGGTTAGTAGGTTAGCCTGCTTTTAGTGCTTTCCCTCTCTGATAGCTCAGCAAAGGAGATTTTTATGCCAGCACCCTTAAAAGGCAGAAGCAAAGGGAACACATTTCAGATGTTATATAGGCTATCAACAACAGACAAGGAAGAACTTCGCTCATATTGATTTTTACACAAGGATGTGGAGTTAAACTTCGCATATAGAATACTTCTGCAATCCCAGGTTTTACAGAATTAAAATTTTGGCTACTATTGAAGACTGTACCTTAAAAAAATCTAAAAAATCCACATTTATTGACATAGTTCCCTAAGTTTGCCAAAGTAAAGTTTATGGAAAGTCATAATATGAACTTATTCAAAGAAATTAAATTATATGAATAATAAACATGTACACACAGCCCTATATCACTAAAGGCAAAATGAGATATTTCGGGAGAGAAGCAACAGGATGGCTGTTTGGTAGAAATTTATTCTTTAGAGGGCATTGTGTATTTCAGAAATACAACATTTAAAGTAACTAGTACCATTTTAAAGGAATATTCAACATCTCTGTGATACTGTGAACATCCTTAAAACCAGCTGAGAAATTCAAGGTAATATAGATTACTGATAAGGATGACAAAAGAATACTCTGAGCAGAGTTAGGCTTAAATACAAGTGAAATAATGTATGCACAACTGTTTTCTGAATGATAAGCAATTTTACTTTAGGCATTAATTAGAAGTAATTTGAAACAATACAAAATCCCCATGAGCTTTAGGTAACAGTCATAAGGCAACAAAGACTGAAAAGCCAAAACAAACTAAAAATAGTTTTTTTTTTAATCTACTGAACATTGTCTTGTTTGGAAGAACTACTGGTTTTCTACAGCTCTGTCCTTGGTACTTTACAGCATTAAAATACTGTATTTCTGTACTGTATGTACTGTACTGGATTTCTCTGTTTAAAATAAAAGCATGGAAAGATATCTCAGTTTATGCTGATTTACTATCCCTATGAAATCTAGCTGAAATCAGCAGTCACTTACCTTTGAGAAGTTGGATTTGAGATTTATTTGTAAAAATTACCTGCACTGCAGTCTCAAGGCATCAGAAGTTATTTATAGGAGGCCACTTAATATGTATTTGTGAATTAAAAACTACCTTATTAGTCATACTGTAATATATTCTTCATCTACAATATACAACAACTGAAATCCTTACTGCACTGAAATTGCTATGAAAATCTCAAATGCTTTCAAAGTTGCCAGAAATTCACCCTATGAGTTTTTCATAAGAGTTTCAGAAAGTAAGCTTCCAAACAAGAATTCAAGTCCTTAGCCTGAGCTCAAGTTTCCCAAATTCCAGGCCACAGATTGGATCGCAAGCTATCCTGAGGTATATGCTATGCGTAAGTTTCACTTATACTTATTTGGATGTTAGAAAACGTCAACAGAACCAACCCATTTATCCCATATCTAAAGTAGTGATGAATCACCATCCCAGACCTAATGTTAGCGAAAGCATTTTCTTTTTTACCTTCCCTTTTTTTTATAAATAAAAATAATAATAAAAAATGTTCCACTGTTCTCTGAAAGTCTAGGAATTTATTTAAGGTTACAGAATTGACACATTTAAACACTATGGGAAATGACATGTTCAGAATCAGACAACCCTTCAAATGGAATTATGTAATTATGTAATCTAAATTAATGCAGTTTAAATTGTCCTAAATTGCAAAAGCAGCTGTAACTCAGAGCCATGAAGTATAACAGCCAAAAAATAAAAATTTACCACTGAAATTGGCCATTCATCTAATCTGTTAAATTCTCTATATTTTAATGCATTAATGCTAAGCCAACCTCACATTTTAGTTTATTGAAAAAGAAGGAAAGAGATCATCAAATGCTTCTGTTTATGTAGTTTTTCTCTTTGATTGTTACCCATTAAAAATTGTGAGCTAATCCTTAATAATTTGTTCCTTGATCAAATAGCACTTTGATTCATTATTGCTGTGTGTGAACACTGGGCTACATGTGCCAATTAATTTGTATCAAATACTGAGGCACAAATGCTAAATAAAGATAAAGAGTGTGTGAGACTACAATATACTTAGGATACATTATGGCCAAAATACAGTAATTAGAAATGACTGTAAGGGTGCTTTTTTTCTAAAGTTCTACCAAATGACTGTTTCAGTTTCAAAGGCACATACTAAAAAACAGAAACAGCAAATCTAACTGGCCTCTTCTGAGCACATATAAGACATATTTTTCCACTACATTATTTTTTTGTAAAAGGTTCACATAGAACTGCATGCCAAGGGTGGGCTGAACTTGCAAGGGAGCTATTCAGAGTTTATGCTTAATATAATCAATTAATTTGTAGTCTCATAATACCAAAGCCCACACCATTCACCACCTAGTTTTCATGCTGGATACAGAAGTATACAGAAGACTACAAAACCAAAGAAATGATGTGAGATTTTTCATTTACGATTGAATAACTAATGCGTTTGTGAAGTTTTTGTTTTTTTTTTTTTTTAAAAAAAAGGATTCTATTGCATTCACGATAGTAGTAGAAAGGTTAAGAATTAGAGATCCATTTTTGCATATGCATACATACACATACTATCTAGCAAATATTTCTCTCTGAATATACTTCTTTTACTTTCACAGATATATGCAAGCTAACATCATGCCCTGTGTATTCCAACCAGCATTTCAGTTAAACTTTTAAACAAATTCAGTAGAATTCCAATAAATTTTCTATTCAACAGCAATGAAAGTTTGTAGGAATATATTTTGTATATCAATGGAAAGCTGGAAGATTATCAGTTTGTTCTGAGAACAGCAAACCTACTGAAATCTGATTTCTTTTATATCTGTCCTTACCCTGTCTTTATCGCCCAACCCCCTTCCCTCTTCTTACCCTGGTATTAACTTCATTTTCCCTCTGTGATACAGTGAGTAAGAGACAAAAGTACTGTATAAGCATACAAAAAATTTTAATAGTTATAATTTTCATCCCAAAAATGAATGGCATGATAAATTTTGAGTATCAATCTTGTCGTTTTTTTTCCCACAGTCTTCTGCTGAGTTCAGAAGTTACTGTTTAACTGTGAGTAGAAGGATTTTTTTCCTAAAATTATTCTTTTCACACTCTCCACAAAAAAATTATGTGTATATGTGTAATTGTGTGATTATTAAAAATACACATATTACGAGATACTAATTTGATTTTGGAACAGAAATTCTGTCATTAAATCATTTTAAGTTTCCAGTATGTTTAACTGTAAGGCAAATTAATGGAACGGGCAATTTATTTCTTGTTAAACAAGGGAAGAAGAAGAAAAATCTATTATGGTAAGCTTTATTTTCAGATATTGTAAATGACTGTTCTGAACTGGACTTCGAGGCAGAACATTTATTTATTTATTTAGAGAGGCCTATTTTTTGTATTTAGTTTTTGTGCATGCTGTTTCTCCCACATACAGGCTTTTCTACCCCACATGGGACATTTTTTCCACACTACTACCTAATGCATGGCAGACACCTGGATTTTGTTCTCCGCACACACCATGAAACAACAGCGTACAGCTATGGAGGGTGACGAGCCTGCCTCGCAGCTGAGCCCCACGCTGGGGGCCGGGGCTGGGTGGGTGATGGCAGGAGGGGGAGGAAGGGTGAGCGCCGGCACGACGAGCCGTGCTGAGCAGGGAGCGGGCGAGGTGCCGAGCCCGGACCCCCAGAGAACAAGCCCCTTCCCTGCTGGGCCACGCAGCACAGTCCAGCCCCGGAATGAAGCTTAGCATGACGTTAGTTCCCGTGTTCATTCTTTGGTATGTTGATGAGTTGGGAAATTTTTTTTCCCTGCTCTATAACTATTTTGATGTTCATAGCATTTATTCTCTTACCCACCTACAACAGGATTCTAGTAATTCAACTTTTTTGAACCTACACTGTTTTTAAGTCAGTCACAGGAGAAAAGTAATATGCTATTTTAACATTTTAGACCTCTGGAGCTAACCGAGGGGTATTGGCTTATGCTAGGAAGTGCTAACACCCACTCCCCCGACCAAGTGTTTTTTAGACTTAAAAAAGAAGCCTAAATAACACCTCTATATTTTAGCCGAGTCAGAAACAGATGGAGTGCTACTGTTGCCAGCTCATCTATCTGCACTTTGTTCAGCGTGGGGTTTTTTTCCTTCTTTTAAAGCAAATAGATTTGTAAGTTTACCTTCTCCATAACCAATACATTCATATACAGTAATGTTGACCAAGAGAAGGTCCCGTGCATCCAAAATTTGAGGAGCATGATTAATGAAACAACTATTACAAAGCAACAGCTAACATCATCTCCATTTCCAGCAAGTAAATCAATAGCTCCATTCACAACAGGTTTCACAGAGGATCCAACCCCAGGAAAGCCATGCATACTTACAAATTATAAAGCATATCAGCCATGTTGCTGCGGTAGTACAAGGCATTTCTATAGGCGCTTTCAGCTTCAGAAATCTTGCTCTGGCTCTTGAGAACATTTCCAAGGTTACCCCATGCTGTCAAGAGGAGAAAACAGTATTCAGAAAGAGCTACAATTCAATTACACGTGACAGAGTATCTGAGTATCAGGAAGTTCCTCAGGGAGACAAAGTCCACAAAGAAACTATTTTTATGGAAGGGGAGGGGAGGTTGGTTGTTTTTTTCCCCCTGTTCTCTGGACCTTTGCATCTTACTGTGAAACTAACATTTTGTAGTGGTGACTTGCGTACATTCTGCATACATATAGCATTTGGGTGGGAAAATGATCTTTAAGAAAAAAAATATGTATCTAAGCTTTAGAAACCACTATAGAAAAGGGAAGGGACCATTTGATTTTATATTGCCTTTAAATAAAAAAAAACAGAGTAAAATATGGAACTGGGGCACGTTCATAGACTTAAAAAAAAAGCTAGAAATATCTACTCCAAACAGCAAGAAATTTTCCCAGACTAGACACAGTTCTCACTGAAGTATGAAAACTGACAAATGACACAGGAATTGAAAGAATGGTTAGGTATGTAACCAGGATTAAAAGTATGCCATATGGATATAAACATACTACACAGATGACTAAAATGCATTTTTTCCACTTGGAAAACATGTGGTTCCTTTCCATATAATTTATTATGTTATACAACGTGCTTTTATATCCCCTCTATGAGGCACTTCAGGTAAAAAAATATTTAAGGCTCCACATGTGTTCCCGTTGCAGTTTTGTTGAGTGGCACAAAAACTGTATTTACAAAAGAAACTGGAACTAATGTTTTACAGAAAACACAGCCCATGTTATTCACAATTTAGGAAGCCAATTTAACTAGCATTGTAATTACAGTCTATGCGTATAAATGAAAAAACACATTATGCTTATACATACATCAAAGTTGTTTCATAAAACAGTTCTACTTTCACAAGTATTTTCTTTATAAGCAGGAATAAGGGAAAGATGATGCACGTCCTTTGCACCGAACACACAATATATGGCAAACTATTCTCCCCTCCAGATGCACTAACCATAAACATTAGCTCAAGTAGCAGTTAAACTCTGCTGCTTCAGTTACTAAAGCCCTTTTTTTACAGGAATTTGTATCAATCCTGTGTAATGAAAACTTTCAATGTAGTTTTAACGTAACACTCCTAAATAGCTTGATAATTATTTCAGATATGCGTTATTTCCTTAAAGTGCATCACTTTCAAGCTGCTGTCATTTGCTGCAGAAGCATCCTGCCACAGGGATGGAAATGGCAGCAAACACAGAATTTTTCTCTGAGCAGATTAAACTAATCATTGCTGGGAAAAAAATGATGGAATCCTTCTAGGAGTCACAAAAATAATGTCATCCAACTGTGCGTAACATATTCTGTAAAGACAAAGAAAAAAAATAAATACAATATTTCCATGAGAAAAAAAGCTATCATTTCTTTGAGTCACTTCATTTTAGCCTACTGTTTCACAAGAGGAGAAATAATTCAAAAGCTATTTATCACTAAAATCGACAAAATTCACAAAAATGTTCCATCATGCTCTTGTTTAATAAAATAAAGCTGCTAAAAATATTCTCAGATTCACTCAATTTTTACACTCTTTGCTAGCATATGTGCAGATTTCTGAGTTTATTTCCCTATTACCGCTACTATTCCTTTTTAAACACATAAAACATTTCAGAAGCAGCAATTAAGGTGACTAGCCAGTTTGTAAGCATTAACATTTAGAAGAAAAAGACAGATTTTTTTTTTTTTTAAAAACCCTCATGTGTGAAAACATACTCTGATGTTGCTTCTGCAGTACATGACCACCCAACCTCCCATACTTGTATGTTCCATATAATCTGTAGGTACTTTTGCTTTCACTCTGATCTCCCATAACAGAGTGTTACATCAAATGACCATTTGGACTACTGATAACTATTTCCTGCTATATAGTTATTTGCTCCCAACCACTTTGAAGCTCAGTAAATGAAAGGATCTATAGAAGAGTAATTCGGTTCATCTTTTCATCTGTTAGACTGGAAAAACCCTATTAACACTGTTAAATGTAATAGTTTCTCCTCTACATTTTTTTCTGTATGCTCTATTATTTATCTGAGTTAATATCATTTTTAAAGCAATACACTATTTTACATTATGCAAAATAATCTGTGTCAAATTTTAAATATAAATCAATATTTAATCTGTATTGTTTTATTTGAAATGTATTCCACTTAGACTTTTGTCTAAAATTGTAAAACTGTGAATGATTAATTTAACTTCATGTGAATATACTAGAAATGATAGTAGCAGAAACTAGCAACCATAAAACACAATAATATCACAATTTATCATTAAAAGAAACATGAAATCCAAGGTCTTTTTACTTCCCCAAACTATAAAACCTTGGTATAAATCTTCACATCTGTTTAAATACCGAATTAGTTAGATGAATGAACTAGTTCTGAAGCTACATGGAACATTTTGTAGAATAAATGCTTATTTGTAGAGATCATACTCATAGCCATTGAAGTTACAACCAGCTATTATTTGCAGCAACTACATCCTCGTGGTTGCTGATATATGAGGAAGAGGAAAAGAAGACTGTCTACATGGCAAACAGGCTACTCAAGGAACTTCACTCTTTTTTGTCATAAATAGTGCAACTAAACTTAGGAAAACAAAGAATTTCAATTATTAACTACATATCTGGCATCCAGTTCCTCAATCCATACCTCAGGACAAATGTATCATGCAAAACTGTAACAATATTTGTTCAACTATCTGCACATTCAGAAACAGAAACAAAACTACACCTGAATGAAGCCATATCCCTATTGAAAACATACCCTATGACTCCAACTAAATTTCGGCACTCAACTATTTTTCCATCTGGACTTGGTAAGAAATTCAAAATTAATATTCTCAAAAGAAAAAGGAATTAGTTCAACAACTCTGGAATTTAAAATTTACTTTTATTCCACTTATTTTTTATATATATTTTTAATCTAAGTTCTGTAATACCTGAAGCTGCAAAAGGGAACATATAATATTCAGAAGATGCTAAAGTATATGTATAACACAATTTAATCTTCAGTTACAATTTCAATTTTTCACCTGTTGGGCACCCTATTCAGCACAAGGGAAAAAGCAAGCTGTGAATGAAACAGGTTCGTAATATTTACTTTTTGCTTGCTGCTTAATTCCCTGTGCACCAACAACATCACCAAAAAAGTCCCAGGTCTTTTAGAAATAATACTCCATCATAGCATGGGAACAAAGGTAACATTCGTATATCTCACACACCTACAAAACAGTCAATCCATTCGAAATTCACTTCATTGCCTACTTTTCCATAGATCATACTCAATATAAATGGGTGCATTAAAAATTAAATCCATTTCATCATCTTGTATCCTAAGCCAATTATAAACTGAAAAATGTCCTAGTGCTTGAGAATTCCTATGCTTGTTACATTTCTGTGCAGGAAAATGGAACAGTTTAAGGGGGTTTTGTTGCTGCTGCTTTTTTTTTTTTTTTTTTTAATAAATAGCAGGAAAAATTATGTAGTGCTAGGTAAGAAAATGAACAATTCTTTAAGTGTTATCACTTTGGCCATATCAAAATAGATTTCTATTAAATTTTAAAGATTACATTTATACTATCTTGCAGTGAGAGTAGGTCAAGTTCTAAGGCATTTAATTGCTTTCAAAATGAAAATGAATATGACAAATTTCAGCTTCAAATTTAACATGATTAATTTCTCAACTACCTAATTGAAACTGAGGACTGAGATTTAACAATCCTGAAAAATAGCAGGTTGGCATATTAAACCTTCTTTAACTACCTTCATCCTGGAAGACAGCAAGACAAACAACAGTGAAGCAGGAACAATGTTGTCCAACCTAATCAGCCTGGATTTAAGAAGCACATCTTAATAAAAAGAACAGTTGAACTTCCAGCTTGCAAATGAATTACGAAAACAAGTGAGAAATGGAAATGAATGTGTGAAAATAATTTAATTATATAAAACTTTTCATTTCTATTGAATTAAGGATCATGCTACACTGTTCAGTGAAATGAAAATAAGGCAACAAAGTTTCACAGAAAAGTACTCAGGTGATGTAAAAGCATTTATGTTGATTAATTGATCCAATAGTTTGCTAAAAATAGAAAAAAAATCACAAATTCCTAACAAAGATAACCTGAAGTATTAAAGAAGGATTCTCCTTCCAACCCATTAAACCTATATAATCCATTAAAAATTAGATAATAAAAAAATCTATTTGGAAACCCACAACCTATTTAATATATCTGTTGTCAAACATGGAGTAGCAAAAAACCCCAACTAAAATCCCCTATTAAATCACTAAAATAAAATCTAGTAAACTTTTTAAAATAATATAGTAAAGAAAAGGAAGATTATGCCTTTCCCAGAATGTTATGCCAGGGAGCTAACACTACCTTTTGTAAACCTAACTAGGAGGAAACATACTTGAAAACTGACGAAATAAAATGTAGGACTCAAAGTTAAAAAAAAAAAAAGGGTTATATATTGCATTCACAATTCACATCAACAAATTATTGATGTTTTGTAATACTGTTCTCACTTTAAACTATCAGATTTATTCACAAAATAAACTTAAAACACAAAAAATGTGAACTAGAATATTACTTGAGTGAAACAAGTAAAGACTGAAATATTTAGGGAACAGCCAAGTCATTTGTAATCAACTTGTCAGCAGTTCCCAACTAGCAACACAGAGAAATGCACATCAAGCCAAAAGAATTTCCATGGAACTTTACAGATATCTGTGCATTATTTACTATTTTTTAGCTTGTGAAATTAATAGCAACAGTTCCAGGTTGCATTCCCTCTCTTTACAATCTTCCTGAACTTCTCTTGACTCATGTATGAAAACAAAATAAATGCATAACAATGATCATCTCTATTATTTCATAAACAGAGTTTAAGGACAAAGAGACGGTGGTCCAGAAAAACAACATCTCTTTTTTTTTTTTTTTTTTTATTTTATTTTTTTTTTTTTTTTATT